TCATGAGCACTGAAGTCAGAAATGTGTTCCTCGGAAAGAGGAGAAGCAAGGGGAAAATAAATCTGGGATGAAGAAAGAGTGAGCTGATGGTGGATAGTCTAAATTTCCTCAGGACTGCAGAGCCAGGACAGATTGGGGTAGAAAAAGATCCAGGGAGAGTAGCCAGGATGCTCTTCCCAGGATCCAGGGTGAGGTGAGGAGCGCCTGGATTGGACTCACTGGCGTGGGAATGGAGAAGTAGAAGACACAGATTCTAAAGATAAAGGCACTTCTCAAAGGCAAAACTAACATAACTCGGGGCTTCATTATCCACAACAGATGAAAAATAAAGAATGAATAAAGTTTCAAATTAGAGTGAGCGGGGGAATTATGGGACTTCAGAACGTGGTAAGACAAGGGAGCTGATATTTCAGGAGAAAAGTATGAATTTGATTTTGTCATGTTAAGTTTGAAGTAATGGTGAGACACAAAAGTGGAAATGTTGAAAATACAGTGTTTGTTCATTCCGCATATACTTACTGAGGGCCTACTGTATGCCAGATGCTGGCCCGGGGACTGGGGAAACAATGGTGGCTAAGATACACAAGGTCTGTCCTCACAGACCTTAACATTTACATGACAAGACAACTGGTAACAAGGCATTGCGCTCAATCAAGTGAGAATTTACAAACATCAAAAATATCCACTTTTTAAAAACTTGAGATTAAAAAAAGAAAGGCAAGACCCTGCTCTGGACCAGCCAAAAGGTAGGTTCTCATTCTACGTGAAGAGTGAATAAATACGATATGAAAGCGTCAGAAAATGTGAAAATGATGCTGAACAAATAATAAGGCTTTTATAAATTGGCAAAGGAGCGAGAACTAAAGCAATCTTGAACACTGTAACAAGTTGGAAACATGGGAAGGAAAAAATAAGCTATTAATGTTGAAATAAATTTTGGTTTTACTCTTCATCTGGGCCAATTTGGAAAGCTTTCTTTTGCCCTTAGATATATTGAGGACAAATGTGTACATTCTTCCATTCGAAGCCCATTAAGAATGAAAACTGTAAATTAAGCATATCTACTCGCCAATGTGAACTCAGAAAACGATTTAAAAACATGGGAGACCCATATGGACCCTATGCAAATAGGAATAGAAACATACCACAAAGGATAACGCAACATTCCATTCATATTTCCAAGCTTAAAAGAAATGAAACATAAAACAGAAGTTCTCTCACTGGAAACTCACTACACAAGAACTTGGATATATAAAGTCCAAAATCAAAGTTTAAGAAAAAACTTTTACAATAAATTATTTACATTTGCATAGGATAAATGAGACTATACAAACCACTGTGAAATGATTTTTTTTTAAATCAGCGATTTTACACAGGATGCCAAATACTAGAGTCAATGGATTAAAATGACACCAGTTGGTGTCCTGTATCGAGCCAAGGGCGTTCAGATTCCAACTGCTTTGTAAGAAGATACTCCTGAAGGAAAACTTCAACTGTATTAATCTTCTAATTTTCAATAAGTAATCATTCCCTATAGCCATTATTGCTTATTCTAACCTATTGGATTACTCTAAATTCTAAAAAAACAGCTGCATGATCATACGAAAGTGGCATATGAAGGTTTCTCCAAGTTTGCTTCTAATCACACTAATTTAGAGTTGTTCTGGTAGATTTATTTGGGTGTTTATAATGTGTACAGTATTTCCAGATCTTTTAAATAAAGTCTACTTTTTTTTTTTTTTTT